GCTTAGGCCTGAAGATTCTCATAAGAAAACAAAATCACTCTTAATGCTCAGGGAACCAAGTTCTGTCTCTTTAAAGCAAATGTGGCAGGAGGTTAACAGTGACTGTGTCTAGGTCCATGTGTTCGGTGGGATGGTGATAGGGACATTCATTGTACTTGTCTCAACTTTTCTCAATGTTTGAAAAATTTCATAATAAAACATGTTGGGAGAAAGGAATAAACTAGATCACCAGAAATAAATAAAAGTAGAACAGATATAGTGTCCTAGAAAATAAAAAGACAGCACTTTCAATAAAAACACAGTTAGCTTTATGAACAATTCACTTCTTTTACTTTGTTTTTTCTCATTTTCTCATGGAGGAACAAAAACCCTTGGGCACCCCAGTACTGAGGACGCCCTGTTCTGGAAAGATAGCACACAGGAGAACGTTGGTAGAGAGGACGAGTTTGGGCTAGACTTCTCGTCTGGATTCTAATGCCAGAGCCTGCTGGCTCTTGCTCACTGAGTGACCACAGACAAGTTACTTAAATTCGGTGTTCCCCAGTTTCTTCATCTGTAAAACCAGGGGTCATAACGGAATAAAGAAAGTTGAGGGACTTGGTCACGTAAGTGACATGAGCTGAGTTCGGTTCCAAAGATAATTACAGGAAACCCTACCACCAGAACTCACCCTTGTCTCTGTATACCTGTACATCTTGGTTCAAACTTCTCTTAAAACCCTCAAACCATAGTTCTCTGCGTGTCTGTAAGTCTTATCTGAATTGGTTTCTGACTGCAAGGGATGTTTCGTTTTTCTTTCATTCTTCTTTTTTTTTTCCTCAGACACATGACATAACTTTTTCTCACTCATCGCGTGTTCGAATGAATCCGTGAAATCCCAACACACCTGCTTATGTAAGGCCACACTGACCAGAGGGCGTTTTCTCTGGGAAGCCCGTTCAGTATTCTTTCTCACTGGTTACCTTCCACGAGAAGTTTGTCAGAGGAGCCAGGAGTCTTCTCAGGTCTCATAAGCATACTGCGTTTGTCACCAACACAGAAAGGTTAATGTCCCAAAGACTGACGACTTCCATTAAAGCAGATGTACAGAATTGTTGGGTTGTTTGTGTGTGTGAGGCGGAGGGCAATGACCATCACCGCAGTAATGATAGGAAATAAAAAAAATGTGGGTGAGGGGTGAGGATGGGGTGTATGGGCGTCTGCCATCAGCTCAGGTCCTCATTCTGGGGTCCTGGGATTGAGCCCTGTTGGCTCCCTGCTCATCTGAGAGTCGTCTTCTCCCTCTTCCTCTGCCCCTCCCCCTCCACTAAGACCCTGTCTCTCACTTTCTCTCTCTCTCTCAAATAAATAAATAAATGAAAATCTTTAAAAAAAAAAAAAAAGAAGAAGCAAAATGTGGCCCTGGGGATGTTCCACTAAAGCTTGTGTCCACCACGTAAGTAGCGCCAAGTTGCTTTTAGCATCCACTTGCCAATCTGTGTGCATCGACTTTCTGTGTAAATGCTCTCTCAAAGACAAAAGAGTTCAAACATTGAAATGCTGGTCAGGAATTGGTCTTTAGCCTTTCAAATCGTGGACACATAGGGCCATCTGGTGTGCAGTTGTATAACCACACACTGGATTTTTAAAACATCTCCTCACTACCCATCAGTGGGACTTAGTTGGCTTATACAAAAGCAAACCATTCTTTAGGCTCTCTTAGGGGTACATATTGAGGACCTTGGCTCATTCCCAAACTTAAGGCTCCTCAAACCTATGATAATCTATACACCATATAGAGCTCACCCTCTTATAGATCCTTATAAGACCAATGTCAAAACCACGTGTAAGCTAAAGTTCAAGGGGCAAGAACTGGCAGTGCACAGATGAGGCCAGTAAAGAGAGAGCAGGAGAATGTAACTTTGGAGCAGAGAGTGGGGAGTGAGGGACCATGAAATCCACAATAGGAAAAAAAAAACAAAAAACAAAAAAAACCTGTCCTTGAGCTCCCTCAGGCCCTGATAACATTCTAATTTAGTTCATGAGCACTCCGGATATAAACTTTTGCTTAAGTCTCCGTTGCTTGCAATCAGATAAGCACTATTAAATCAATATCAGTTTGAATGAAGCGAAAAGACGGGGAATCCTATAATCTGGCATGCCTATCTTCATAAGTCCTCAAATGCCTGTGTGTCTTACTCTTTTAATATTCTGATAGAAGCCACAGATAAAAAGTAGGAAGAGAGGAATAAAATTAGGTCTTCATAACCATTTGGGGCCTTTATTGGTGTCTGGGACTCTCAGCCAGACTTCTGTCACCCCATGGGTCTCAACTCCGGAGTGACTAGGAATTGAAGAAACGCGTGCCCTCAGACAGTGCTAGAGAATTGGCAGCCTGAACCAGCAGGGTCTCAATACCACCTTGTGAATCATTGGCCGGGAAGGGTCTCTTCAACATATTAAATACATCCCAGCATTTAATTTATGAGTTAGTAGTTTTCTGGCTTACTGTCAGCGTAGATCAGTGTTCTCCAGTGAGGGCACAATTGGCAACATGCTGGAGACTTGTTGGTTATTACGGCTGGGGGCAGGGGGCACCACCAGCATCTAGCAGGTAGAGGCCAGATACGCTGCTCAGTATCCTACAACGCACAGGGCATGACCCCTCACCCCTGCACTCCCACCGGGAACAAGGAATTATCTGGTGCCAAATGTCAGTCGTGCTGAGGCTGAGAAACCCTGATGTTCGTAGCGTCACCTGTTCGAGGGAATAGTTTAAGTGGTAGGAAGAGCAGAGGGTTCACCTAGAAGTTGTGAATATTACCAAGGGGACCACTAGCAAGTTTTGGGGAAGATACCATTCTTGTGGTCTGTTGCTGAGTCCTAGAGAACAGGTGCCCAGAGAGGTTCTGGTGAGGGCAACCAGGGATAAAGCTAAGCAGTCCGTCCTTGAGCAGAGCTATAGATTATGATTGGAAAGACTAACACTCCTCAGTTTGATTCCATTTATTCCCCGGCCCATTATTTGGGGTCACTGTGACCTAATCTCTATTTATATCAAAACAATAAATTGGCTTGGGTGACAGAGACAAGGGGTTAAATTGGAGTGAGCAGAAGAGCAACATATTAATAAATTAACTTATTTACATGTATATGGGTTGGAGAGTGATGTTTTCATAGGTCTGAGATGCCATAGTGGGCCTGTTAAGACTAAAATATATTTTCATTACGTTAGCTTTTGGTTGGGGACCTTCAAAGGAAAGCAATCTCTTCCCTAAAAAGCATGCAGAGCAGGAATCCCAAAGCATTATCAATTTCAGGACTTGAAGGTAAAAAACAACACAGCTCCCTGCCTCCCCACACCCCCACCTGTTTAAATATGTAATAAAAAAAATAAAAAAAATCAAGGATACATAACTTTTGAGATGGAGGCTTGCATTTTTCTGACGTAGGCCACGGGAATCCTGGTCTGTAGACTTCCCTGTAATGCAAGTTTCAGTTGGGGAATGTTCTGGAAAACAACTTAGGCAAAACTAAGTTAGAGATACACTTCAAGGTTTTTTTTTAAGATTTTTAAAAATTAATTTCTTTTCGGCATAACAGAATTCATTGTTTATGCACCACACCCAGTGCTCCATGCCATATGTGCCCTCCATAATACCCACCACCCGGCTCCCCCAACCTCCCACCCCCGCCCCTTCAAAACCCTCAGATTTTTAAAAAGATTTTATTTATTTGACAGATCACAAGTAGGCAGAGAGGCAGGCAGTGAGGGGGGGAGCAGATTCCCTGCTGAGCAGAGAGCCTGAGGGGGGCTTGATCCCAGGACCCTGAGATCATGACCTGAGCGGAAGGCCCACTGAGCCACCCAGGCGCCCCTACACTTCCAGTTTTGACACAGGACATTGATAGCATACTTGCAGGAGCTCCACTTTGTAAATTGGGAATTTGTTTTAAACTGGGTTGAGTTACAGAGGGCCAAACCTACCAAATCACATTGATTCCTTAATTTATTTCATTCAATGAACTTGCAGGTCTAGGCATTTCACTAAGCGCGAGCAACACAAAGAGGCATAAGACGTGGTGCTGCATCAGTTTAGTCAGGAGCAGGCGGGTAAGTAGGTAATTGTGGGGTAGCAGTAGCGTCTCGGCTGCCAGTTAGTCCCCTGCTCTTCTTTCTTCTAACTGCTCACCTCACGGAGGTGTCGGGTCCAGGAAAGAGATAGTCTATGAACTCTTGGCCCGGAATTAAGCTGTTTAGAAACGTTCGCCCCTTATTTATGAACAGAATCGTGCCGCGGCTGTGAGCATCTTCTCCAAGTCGTGGCTGTTAGAAGGTGCGGGAACTTTCATTTTTCACGTTCCCATGTTTTATAACGTTATGGTTATATGCACAACAAAGCGTCTGAGTCAGCCTGGGTGATGGGAAACTCTGGAATTTCTGAGCAGGAGCATGCAGTCTGCATAACGTTCTGAAAGACGGAGAGGCCAGAGCCCGGAAAACCAGTCCCCGCATCCCTCATTTCTGCTCCGCTGTGCATGCCTGCCCGGCCTGGCCTACATTTCCCAGGATGCTCATTTGCTGGAGCTCCAGCAGGACTGGTCAGAACAACGCGGAAGTAATTACGGGTCGCTCAGCAACGGGCGGAGTTCTGGACCAGGACTGGAGGCCCACGCCCCTTCCCTAAGGCCGGGAGGTGGACGAAGCTCAGCTCCATCTCCAGGGTAACGGAGCGTCCGCCGGTTTTTACTTCCAGCCGAACGGCAGTACGCTCTCCCTCTCGTGCTTTCACCCTTTCTTCCCAGGCCCCGCCCCTTTTACGCCCGCAGCTGCGAAACGCGGGAGACCTGATTCTAGCTCCCAAGTCGTCTGAGCGGCTCGGGGCTGTGCAGTGCGCAGGCGCGAGCGTTTGGGTCTCGCCGCGCGCGGCGCTTGGTTGAAGCCCGAGTGAGTTCCTGGGCGCGGAGACCCGGCAGCGGGCGACCGAGAGAGTAGGTGACCGAGCGCCTCCTCTGCCGTCATGGCAGCCCTGCGCTACGCTGGCCTGGACGACACGGACAGCGAGGACGAGCTGCCCCCGGGCTGGGAGCAGAGAACCACCAAGGACGGCTGGGTTTACTACGCCAAGTAAGGGGCCGCAGGGGGGCCGCCGGGCCTGGGACGCACCTGGAGGGGGCCTCACCTGGAACCCTGACGGCCTCACGTGCCCGGGACCCCGCGCCGCCTGCAGTGCCACCTGCGCGCGGAGGGGCTCGGGCCGGCGCTCCCGCTCGGCGAGGCGGCTCGAAGTGGACGCGACAGTTCAAGAGCTTCCTCATGCAGGCTCCCAGGGTCCCGAGGAGGGGTCGGCAGCCTTTCTGGGCCCTGGGTCCTGCGGGGTGTCACCTGGCAGCGCCCCGGCGCGCCCTCTGCTGCTCAGAGGCGGCTCTGCACGGTGCCATGGTGGCCCGCAGGCCTTACTCCCTCATCCAAAAAAAAAAAAAAAAAAAAAAAACCAGTGCCTCGCTCCCTCCTCCTCCGGGGGTCCTGGGCAGGGAGCTAGGAGTATGTATTTTTTAAAATTAATGTCCTAATATTTATGTGTATGTATATATGCATATATACCTTTGCATATATAGTAGAACTCCAATAATTCCTGGTAAACTTTTGGAAACACCAGAAGACCCTTTCTCCCTCCCCTTACTGTGCGACTTGGGGCCGTTGAAAGAACTCTCAGTCACCATTTTTCCACCCATAAAATGGGTTGACAGTATTTTAATTCAGACACTGTTTCTAAAACACTTAGCATAGATCTAATAAGTGCTCTGCTCAATAACTTAGCTTTTCTTGCTCTCTCTGCAGCTGTGACAGCACCTCCTAAGCCTCATTAGAATCACCTGTCGGTGGTCCTACACCTAGAAATCAGAGACCTTCATGCAGCAGACACCCAGCATGGGGAATCTGTATTTTATAGGCTTTTCCCGTAAGGCAGGTTATCATTTGGCTTTGAGAAGCAGGGTTGTAAATCAGTGATTTTCAGCAGGTGGAAAGCTTAGAAAATACTTTTTCCTTGGTTCATCCTCCAGAGATTCTCATTCAACTGGTTTGGGCCCTTCCAGCCTCCACAGATATGTTGTAAGATTTCCCCAGGAGATTCTAATCTACCCACGGTTGTGAGCCACTGCTGTCTTTGGTTGCTTGGTAGAAACAAAACCAGGAGAGAAAAAAAGATAAAAGAAAAGTAGACCTTGTTGAGTTTATTCATTCAAGACACACTGGGGTTTTACCACATGCCAGGCTCTTTGTTGGCCACTGGTTATACTGAGATAAATAAGACCCACTTGTCAGCCAGTCTTATATGGCAGAGTGACACGTGGCTAGTTCTTGTGCAGTGTGTGGCTAGTGAGCAGCAGCCAGCTAATGTGACGCCTGCATGACTAGGTGGGGAGCACCTCGGGGGCTTGGGGAGAGTTGGCACCTGAGCCCGGCCTCAGCAACTTCTAGGAGTAGAAGTGGGCGTGTTCAGGGCCAGGAGGGCAGCTCAGGTAGAGGAGACAGTGGAGGCCTCTCTCCGGCCCCTGTGCTGGAGCAGCGATGGGAAGATTAAGGCAGCAGAGGAAGGCCCCAGGGTGTGGAGGCCCTTCTGTGCCTCATGGAAGAGCTGGGGCTCCATCGTCAGGACCTAAGGGTCCACTGAAGGCTTGGAGCCAGGGAGTGCCATCGGATTTATATCTTTCGAAAGGTGGTTTCTGGGTCTGGATAATGGTAGGGGTGAGTCTAGCAGCAGGGAGCCGTGAGGCTGTTGTTGGGCTCCAGGCAGCTTCCGAGCCACACTCGCTGTTATCTCTGCCTGGAGATCTATGTGCCTGGTTCCTGGAGAGCTATATGAAGGGCTTTGTCATCCCCCAGACCCGAGCTTAAATGCTCAAGAGACCTTCCCCTTATCCTTGACTGCTGAACCCTCCTCCCAGCATCTCGTTATCTGAGTCATGGTACTTGGCCTTTTCTGTAGTCATCTCTGCCATGTTCCCTTGTTTGTGCTCTGCCTTCCTCCCGCAGATTGTAAGCTTCATGAGGGCAGGGATCTTTTCTTGTTACCCTCTGAATCCCCTGTGCTTAGCTCCTGTGAGATGTAAGTCCCTGTGGAATGAGTGAATTAATTCCTCCAGTGAAGGGTTCCCTGGGCCTCCCTGAGCAGGTGGTATACGGGCCCCTGGAATGCAAAGGTCCTGGAGGTTCGAGCCCTCCTCTGCCTCCTGCTTTGTGTGGGGCTTACCTTCGTTCTAGCCACTTAGCCTGGGCTCCCTGACTTTCTTTCAAGTTTGCCTGGAGCCTGGTGTTGCCGTGGCTCTTCCCCCTGCCTCCTACTTTATGTTGAGCGGCCTTTCCCATCTGCTTCCTTCCTTGATGGCATCCAGCGTCTGGGCTCTTCTTTTCTCTAAGTAAGATCAGCACAGCCCAGTCGGCACCTCCGAGTGCTTCTGGGGGATTCATGGTGCGTATATGGCCTCCGAAAAGGCTCTCCTTCCTCCCCAATGTTGGGTCTCAAACTGGCCTGTCTGGCCCTGTTGTTTACACTGAATATAGTGACAAGTTATGCTGGGTCCTCACTGGGGTCCGCCTCTCCAGTCCCCCTGCCCTCTGTTCTTTAGCTCTCCAGGTGGAAGGATGCCTCTGACCGACCCTAACCCGGGATTCCCACCAGTCCCCCTTGATCTCTCCCGATCTACAAGCATCCTAGTCTGTCTTATTTCAACTCTGGAAGGGTCACTTGTCCTCTCTTGGGGTTTGGGAAATGGTTAACGGGCTAAAAGAAGACTGTCCTCTGAGTAGTTCCTGTTTTCACATAGTCTTCCTGCAGCAAGGCCTCCCCCAAGGACAAAGGCTGTGGCTCCCAATGAGAACCCGCTCCCTGATTCATACCTTTGCCCCCTCCTGTTGCGTGGCTTCTTTTGGCCCCTCTTGCTTTCCCATGTGACCCGTGCTGTACTCACAGACCACAAGAGCATGCATGTCCCATGGCTCCAGGGCCCACCAGGCTGGGCTTCCAAGGAGAGGACATTCGTGCCACTGAGGGCAGACCTGGCACCAGTGAGAGCTGGTGGGCCCTTCTCCCCTCCTTGGCATGGTCCAGAGCAGCGCCTGTGCCCAAGCCAGGGGGTGGGGATGGAGGGACCAGGTCTCAGTGCTTGGGACTCTCACCACAGTCACCTGGGCCTTCCTGGGCCCTTGAATCCCAGCACCCTTGACTTCTGTAGCCTGGGCATCTTGGCAGCCAGAGGGCCAGCCAGCCTTGCCTGGTCAGGAGATGGTTCTCTGGTCCACAGGGCTGGCCCTCCTCCCAGCCAGCTGTCTGTGTCCAAGTTAACTGTGCCTCAAAACAAATTTCTGGAATAACATACTTGGAAGTGATATCCATGTAATGTGGTATGCATTTAATTTTGATCCTTTTGGTTTAAATTAAGATCACTGTTAATTATCTCTTTAAATGACAAAAAGCTTATTGAAAAAGAAAAAATAGAAGAGGGCTTCTGTTTAAAGGAGAGGAAGATAACACTTTGGGGACATGTGTCATGATTTTCTGTTCATTAAAAAGTCATTTTAGGTTATAATTAAGAGTACTTTTTAATTAAGTTTTATATGTGAGTATTTATTTAAATTAATGCTTCTGTCTGAAAGGCACAGTTCTTAGTTCTTCACACATGTTAACTCATTGAGTCCTTAGTAACCCCAAGGAGCAGATGCTATTATCCCTATTTTATAGATGGGGAAACTGAGGCACAGGGAGGTTAAACACCTCTTTAAGGGCACATGGCTGGTGAATGGGAAAGCCAGAACTCATGAGCATTTGGGCTCTGCAATCCTTATTACCAAATTATGTACTTTTCTCTTGTGTCAGGCCTGAGGTTCACTCTCAGGGACACTGTCCTTCAGGGGACAGTTGGTGATGTCTGGAGACACTTTCTGTTGCCACAACTGTGGTATATTGGCATCCAGTAGGTAGATCTCGGGGATGCAGCTAATCGTCCTGCAGTGCACAGGACAGCCCCCACAGCAGAGAACCGTCTGGCTTAAATGTCAGGACTGCCAGTGGTAGGAAACCCTGACTTAGGCATTTTTTGTCAAAGTCAAAAACATGGGGTGACAATGTTTATCTTGTTTTTTAAAAATGTCTTTCAGGACAGAAAAAAAAAATGTTCTCAGCGAATTTTCCAACTCCTTCAGAAAGCATTTCTTCATTCTGGTCTGTTTCCATTTGAGCGACTCCTCAGGCCAGGCCCAGGGCTAGGTGTCTGGGGTTCAGCTGGACGCGGACCTGCGGGGGTCCGTGTTCCACTCACAGGGGCACTTTGTGGATTCTTGAGGGCAGGTGTTTTTGGCTCAAAGCTCAGTCTGCTGCCTGCCTGTGGGATGCGAACTACTTTTAACACCAGGCAGAGGAAAATGTAAAATCACATTTGTAAACTGTTCTCGAAGAAGCATGAGGAGGAAAGCAAAGCAAAGAGCAGGAATGGTGTATGTCATTGCCGGCGTCTGGCCTGTTTGCTCACTGTTCCTTCAGTTCGCAAGGAGAAGCAGGGGTTGTGCCCACGAGGAGCAGCTTATCCTTCCCCGGGGCTTAGGCTCTCCCTTTTCGCAAGTAGAATTTCGTGGTGGTTGACATACAAGTAGACGTTGGTCCTTGCTGCTGATACCCTGCGTTTGTACAGTGACCTCATTGTTTGCCTGTCCTGTCACAAGTAGCGTGTCCCTTACCTTTCTTCCAGCAGCCCTGTGAGGTGGGTATGTGGGGCCAGGGAGACTGGCTGACTGGTTACAGGCGTGCGGGAGCCCAAGCCTTTGTCTCCTGAGTCCAGTGTCGATAGGGCTCTGGAACCCACCACTGAGAGTTTGCAAACAGACCTGAAGCCTGCAGTTCCCAAAAACACCTTGCTTGGCCACTGTAAAATTCTACCGCAGATTTGTGCTTTCTTTGTTCTCTTTAAAGTAACTGGTAGGGAAGGCATATTCAGATTTTATCATCTCGATGTTGGTGATTAATTATTATTTTCTACTTTGGCATGAGTATGTGGACTTTTAGAAGTTCATCCTCCCTGTGAATGTCTCTTGCAACAGCCCGCTGCTTCTCTGATGAAGTAATTTTATGTTTTTCTTGATTCTTTATTACCTGTTGACAGGTATCTCTCGTCTGTTATTGGCTCACGATTTTAATTATAACTTTGTTTGCTGTTAGAGGAGATGCTGAAGTTAGCACAGAAATAAGACTATTTTGTTATTTGATTTGTTTGAAATAATAGGTAGCACTTTTGATGGTATTTTATATGTCAGGTGCTGTGTTCTGCCCTTTATATACCTTATCATAGCAATTCCTTGAGATGAGTTTTAGGATCTTTTCCATTTTGCAGATAGGTAAACTGAGGCTCTGAAGTTGAGTAACTTGCAGTGAGGTGACCTATTCTAACTGCATTCTTAAATACCTCTTGGGAGCAATTAGGAGTCAGTGCTTAAAACACTTCAAAGTTATATCTGTGGAAAGAGTAAATACTTAAGATTAATATTATAGCTAAATGATGTCTAAATATCAGTATCATAAAGTAGACTGAAGTTTGTTCATCTCTCCTGAGATAAAACGAAAACAAATGCAAAACATCTCTGGGTATTCTGAGTGATTCACTAAGCTTCCTAAAGTTGACCCAAGGGGTTCCCGTCCGCTTCTCTTCCTCGTCCTCCACAGCCCGCTCACAGAGAGAGACAGGCTTTCAGGAGATTTCCTCGGGCTGCTTCTCCTTCCCATCCAGGGAATTGGACCAGAGCATTTATGTTCTGAATATGTCTTTTCTGAACTCTGGCTTTACTTCTCTTGGGAAATAGTGTTGTTTGGGCGGGGGAAGGGGGGGAAGCAGTGCAGTTGATTAATTTTTAGTAGTGTAACCTTCATTTACTATTTTTTTGTGGAGTTTTAACTTTTTTTTTTTTTTTTTTTTTAAAAACAGTCATGCTGAGGAGAAGACCCAGTGGGAACATCCAAAGACTGGAAAAAGAAAACGAATAGCAGGAGGTTTGTATGTGGTTGTCATAAAGCAAAGAACCTTGCATTTAAAGCATTAATTAGATAGCAAAACTGTCACAATCAGGGGACAGGCTGCTCTGTCAGTCCTGGAAGGTTCTCTAGGAGGGAGCCATCAAGGAATCGGGCTCTCTTTTGGAGCTCACGGGATATGGCAGAAGGCGGCAATGAGAGAGGGGTGGAGTGGTGAGGGTGATTTCTCTTGGGCTTTTTGTAACAGCCACTGTTGGTACACACAGCCTGAGTTGGCCCAGCATGGCTGCTGGTCGGTCGGAAGGGCTTTGGGGCGGGGGCTGGAAGGGCACGGGCCTCTGTTTGCCCCATCCCTGCTGCATGTAGACCTGTCAGTCTTCCTGTGTTTCAGATTTGCCATATGGATGGGAACAAGAAACTGATGAGAACGGACAAGTTTTTTTTGTCGAGTAAGTGTCTATATAGAAACTCAGTCATTTTGGTTTTCAGTAGAAATTTTTTTTTTTAAAGATATTTTTTATTTATTTGACAGAGAGAGAGAGAGAGAGAGAGAGAGATCGGTCGGTCACAAGTAGGCAGACAGGCAGGCAGAGAGAGAGGAGGAAGCAGGCTCCCTGCTGAGCAGAGAGCCCGATGCAGGGCTTGATCCCAGGACCCTGGGATCATGACCTGAGCCGAAGGCAGAGGCTTTAACCCACTGAGCCACCCAGGTGCCCCTTCAGTAGAAATTTTTTGTTGTAAAAGTAATATACCTCGAATCTAGAAAAAATATACAGTATATAACTGTAATCTTATCAGTAGGAATAACTACTTTTAATTGTTTTTTAATTTATTCTCCAAGTCTGTTTTTCTTCAAAGAAAAAAAAAAACAACTTAGGGAGTGTGCTTTTTTTTTTTTTTTAAAGATTTTATTTATTTATTTGACAGACAGAGATCACAAGTAGGCAGAGAGGCAGGCAGAGAGAGAGGAGGAAGCAGGTTCCCTGCCGAGCAGAGAGCCCGATGTGGGGCTCGATCCCGGGATCCTGGGATCATGACCTGAGCCGAAGGCAGAGGCCTTAACCTGCTGAGCCACCCAGGCGCCCCGGGAGTGTGCTTTGTGAATCGTGTAGGACCCTGTCCTTCTCCACTAAAGTTTTGTGAGCATTTTCTCCTGTATATATTTTTCAAGACAGTGGTGCTGAGTGGCCGTGGAGTATTATTTTGTACAGATGTACTGTAATTTATCAGCTCACCTATTGGGCATTGATGTTGTTAAGTTCCTGCGTAACTACTCCTTTTCTCTGCAGCCATATAAATAAAAGAACCACCTATTTGGACCCGAGACTGGCATTCACGGTGGACGAGAACCCTGCGAAGCCAACCAGCAGGCAGAGGTACGACGGCAGCACCACCGCCATGGAGATCCTCCAGGGCCGCGACTTCACCGGCAAAGTGGTCGTGGTCACCGGAGCTAATGCAGGAATAGGTAGGCCATTCCTTACAGTCGTCGTGATTTTTTTGTCCCTGCTGTCTTGAAATCCACTTGAATTTGAACTACAACGAAATCTTTTAGAGTGATTCCCTAATGTAAACATGTATTTATAGCCTTTCCTACTACTGTTTTGTTAAGATCCTGGCCTCTTTTTTAAACCTCACTCTTCTCGTGGAAGGCCATGGAGGGGCTGACCTTGAATTCTCTGAGAGCTGAATACTCAGCAAAAGACTGTGGCTGTTCTGGTATTCAGGGATTAGAGACAACAGCTTCCGTCTAAGGGTTTCCAGCCTGGTCTGTGTGGTGTCTGGACACATTTCAGTGACCTGGGTTATTGAAACCAAAATTGATTGGTAATGGATGGACTATCAGGAGCAACAGCCTATCCTGACTTTGGAACAAAGGATACTGCAGGTTTCAGCTGGTCACTGAGAGTATCATTTTCGTTTGGTAACAGGATCTTGTTTCTCTTTAAAGTTGGGGAATTAGTCCTTGTCTTAACCTCTGGATTGATTGTTTGAACCACCAGTTTAACTGCAGTGACCGGCACAGGTGGATGGCTTCAGAGGCCCTCCTTGCTCTAGTGAACAAGGCTGCTAGAAGGAACGGGCAGAGCAGATGCTGGGGCAAGAGCTTTCCACGTGCTTTTAGTCTTACTTTGTTTTGATCCACTGACATCAGCATCCGTACCTGTAAGAACCAGACTGCTCTGAGTAAGGATTTGTGTCTTCAGGTTAATTTACATAGACGAAACAAAGTACACTGGGCTGTTTCTGGCAATTTCTCCCTGCCCTTTGACCCTTCACAGCTCCCCCATGGCCCCCCTTATTGGCCTTCTCTTTCATAAGCTTAGTCTCCTCATGCCTTCGTGCACCTCCTGCACTGTCTTCTTTCTCCATCCTTCTTCACTGTCAGGGACCCCTTCTCGAACCTCCTCAAGCATTCCCGGCATCATCAGGGGAAGCGCAGGAGGTGAAAATACATTCTTAGAGGATCAGCTGTTGCATCGCAGAGGCTCTGCGGTCTTAACGAGCAGCAGTCCCGGAGTAGAGCTCTTGACTGCCCTTGTCTATGAAGGCAGAGAGGCAAACGGAATTTAAAAAAAAAAAAAAATGGAAAGGGATTTATTTAAAATCAACTCTCAGACCTCACCCTAGGCTCAGAATATGTTCAGTCCAATTTTCTGAACTTCTGATTGGGGTGGGATTCTATATAATCATCATTGATATCGAAACTGATGATGCTTTATTAAAAATAATGACTGGTTCCTCAGTCACTCAGGAAACACCGTGTTGTGTTGATTGCATTGACGGCTCCTCTATGAGGGTGTGGACCGATACAGTGGAGAATAATTGAGACAAAATAAGTACTTAAGGACTAAGTAAAATATCTTTTTTTATTTTCTTTAACACTCAGTTAGCCAGAAAATTACCTAAAAGATCTCATTCTTTTACTCTTCTAGCGAGACAGTTTTTTCCTTTAATTAGTAGGATACGTGACCTGCTGGTTATGTTCTGCGTAAGGGTCCCAGCGTTGTTCTGTCTGACGTCAGAGAGCGGACCTTGGACGCTCCTAATGATCCGTCAGAGATCCGCAGCAGCAGACGCATGACATCGTGATCCGGGATAGCTGAGTTGTTCAGAACATCCAAAGAGCTTTGTGTCGTTGGTTCTCTAATCATAAAGGAGGGGGTTCCAAAGCATCGAGAATAAACGTGTTATTCAATGGCCCTGGAGCCGCTTTGAGTAAACTCCGTGCCTCTGCACTGCTCCCTGAATTCCTCTCAACTTCCCCTTTCTTGAAGACCTTTCCTTTCTGACGTCCACAGTCGGCTTGGCAGACGCTGCGTGCAGGTTCCGTGGTCCAGTTGGGTGTGGTGACAAACCCTAAAACGCAGAGCGGGAGCAGTGCCGGGAAGGTCTGGGTCCACCGGCTCTTCCTATTCAATCTCCCGCACCCGCCCCCCCCCCCCGCCCCCCGCTCTGGCCCCTCCCTCAGAGATTGCTTGTAGCACTTCCGCTCACCCCCTACCTTCTCCTCTCTTGGGAAGTATAGGTCTTGGTGGGTGTGGAAGATTTTTATTCTTTTTTTTTTTTAAATTTTTTTATTTTTTATAAACATATATTTTTATCCCCAGGGGTACAGGTTTGTGAATTGCCAGGTTTACACACTTGACAGCACTCACCATAGCACATACCCTCCCCAATGTCCATAATCCCACCCCCCCCCCCATCCCCCCCATCAACCCTCAGTTTGTTTTGTGAGATTAAGAGTCACTTATGGTTTGTCTCCCTCCCAATCCCATCTTGTTTCATTTACTCTTCTCCTACCCCCTTAACCCCCCATGTTGCATCTCCTCTCCCTCATATCAGGGAGATCATATGATAGTTGTCTTTCTCCGATTGACTTATTTCGCTAAGCATGATACCCTCTAGTTCCATCCACGTCGTCGCAAATGGCAAGATTTCATTTCTTTTGATGGCTGCATAGTATTCCATTGTGTATATATACCACATCTTCTTTATCCATTCGTCTGTTGATGGACATCTAGGTTCTTTCCATAGTTTGGCTATTGTAGACATTGCTCCTATAAACATTTGGGTGCACGTGCCCCTTCGGATCACTGGAAGATTTTTATTCTTGATTTTTGAAACAATACCGCACTGAAAATTCCAAGCAAGCAAATCCTTGCGAATCACTTTCAGTCTGTAGCAGTGGTTTCGGGCTTAAAGACAAGAGGCTGGAGATGGGCACACAGCTTTTCATTGTTGCTGAGTTCACTCTTGGATCCTGCGTGCCTGCCTTAGAAAGTGTCCTTGCCCAGGTAGGCTGTGGCTTCTAGATAAAGTCCTTCCTTCTCCTGGACTATGAAACATGTCCATTTATAAATTGCAGTAACCGCTTTTCTGCCCATTTCAGATGAAGTAACTGAATGTAGAGTGAATTGGGCGTCTTCACTTCCAGGACATACGGGCACTCAGGAGTCATCCTCTTCCCAAGCTTTAATAGTGTTGGTGTCCACTTTCCTTTTGCCGCTCACAGGAGCCTGATTTCTGTGTAGTAGCTGTCCAGCCTTTAGCCTTGTGGACGTCTCTTCTCTTTGAAGTAGAGTGGGCTGCCACAGAGCATACCGGTACTTACTGGCATGGTGGCTCCAAGACTCAAAATGTAGGTAACCTGGTTTGCTTTGCAAAGGCTGATTCACAAACCCGGCGTTCCCCGTGATTCTTTATTTTTAATTTTTTAAATTCTCCACAGGCATTGCTTTGTTGGAACTGCTATCAGTGAGGCTGTCTCCCGGGTGGGAGGGGAAGATCAGGTGATAAGAGGGGACACCTCCCTTGATGAGCTTCAGTGTTTAATTAGGATGCCCCCCCCCATGTGACATCTGGGAAGATGTTGTGTTACTGTCTTCCTCCTCTGGCCGTAAGTGATCGGGAGCTGTAGTTAGAATTTTCAGTAGTTTATGGTACTAAGGCAGTTAGAGGAATTCCCACTTAATACAAGTCAAAAAGATCAGGGTGATTCAGGAAGATAGAAGGATTCTGAGGAGATGTCAGAATAAAGCATCAGGAGTTCATGAAATCTTTGTTTTTACACTTAAATTCTGCAACTAGTTATTGCTGTTGTTTGGGTTCGGCTGTCTAGATGGGGGGTTGGCAGACCCTGGCTCATGGGCTAACTCGGTCTCTTGTCTGATGTTGTAACTAAAGTTTTGTTGGAACGTGGCCACGCCCATTTATTTCCATTTATTTCTGTGGCAGTTTCTGTGCTTTCAGCAAAACTGAGTAATTACGGTAGAGATGGTATGGCCTGCAAAGCCTAAAATGCTTCACTATCTGGCCCTTTGTAGAGAAAGCCCCTGCGTTAGAGGATGTAATCTCTTTCAAAGTAAGATCACCCCAACATTCTCCAAAGTAGCCCCAATTTAGATAACATTTAGATAAATTTGATGCCCCAGGCCACAGGAAGCTTTTGGTGGCACACTCTGTGTAACTGCTGGGGACGCCCCACCAGTGTCTTGCACTGTTTGCTTCAGCTGTGTCCCCTTCTTTAGGGAGCTGTGAACATTCGCATGTCGCCTCCTCAGAAACTAACACTTCTCTCCTTGACCTCTGTTCAGCCAGCGTTCTGAGCCCGAAGACCTTTATAGATTGAGAGATGTAGCTTGGACCACTCTCTGCAGATCAGCATCTCAGTATCCAGGGGGAAGTCATCTCTTCACCCAAACTTCTGCTAGCAAACCCAAGAGGCCCGGAACCTCACAGTCCCGACTGCTAACCAGTAGAGACGAGGGAGGAGCTGATTTCTGTTTGTGCTCAACATAGCACGGAGCAGGAAGGGGGCAGGTGTGTCTCGATTCTCTGGACTTAGCGACTTGCGTGATGGCTCTGATTTGGTAAAAATGAGTGGAAATGGATTCAACCATTCTTTACTGGGATAATATTAAATACAAGCCTTGCCGGAAAGTCTCGGGAGAGGGACTGTTTTAGGTTAGGACATTTCCCATCACGGAGGATCCCACAGCTATTTTTCTAGACTTAGCCTGTCAGTTGCGCTGATTTATCTCTGTATTTAAACAGGTGAGTAGGAAGTGCTGCTGGCTGGCGTCCGAGGGCTGACATGTGCTCATCAGAGGCAGGATTCTTCGCATGAGGGGTTCATTGAATGCCTCAGTGTGGGACAGCACCTACCCTGTTGATGGTCTCCTGTTAGCAGGGCCTTTTGTTGGAATTTACAGCCTGTCGCAGTGGGCATACAGAATTACCATCACATTTAAGGAGTGAAATCCAGGTTTTGTCAAACGTCCATTTAAAGACTAGTAACAAGGAGCGCCCGGCCGGCTCAGTCGTAGAGCATGTGATTCTTGAGCTCAGGGTCATGCGTTTGGGCCCCATGTTGAGTATAGAGATTACTTAAAAACAAAAGTCTTTAAAGAAAGTAAGAAGTATGGGCAAATTAAATATTTTCAGTGTAATGTTTATTGGCAATGA